ACTTTGTAGGGTCAGTGCTTATGTTTATGTCTACAAAATTAAGCATCTTCAATCTTGTTTTAAGCAAAATCATGAAGTAGGTGAAACTTGTCTTTGGCATCCTATCACCTCTTTTTCTTAGCCCATTTTCCTGTCTTGCTTTCATCTATCAGGTCCCCTTTTACCTCTTCATTGGCTGAAACTCAAGGGACTTCTCCTTTAGGGTAGATTAGAGGGCCCTAAGGAATAAGATCTAAAAATACAATATCTCTAATTGTAAAATGTGGGACATTGGCAGACTCACTGGGGAGGAATGTGAAGATGGCATTGACAGTGACCTTCCCAGGGCCCAAAAATTGCACCTGATGAGCAGATGCCCATTCCCCTGACCTTCATCAGAGGAAGAGGATCCCCTTCCCTTGGCTGTCTGGCTGTCAAGAAGAGGGCTGATTCAGTTTCAGAAGATCTGGAAATGCCTTCAGCACAGGCACCCTGGCTGGATGCTTCTTGCATTTCCTCCAAGTATTACCTTTACCCTTTCTCTCAGTTGCACCTGTTCATTTTGTCATCCACATGGTACTTTGTGGCCTGTAGCTTCCCAATGAAACAATGGAAAGCTTTGATGAATATTCAGAGATCAATTGAGCTTCCCCAGTGAGTCAGCTCTCTCCCAAGGGGATTAGATGGAAGTAAGTCATATTAACTGGTGTCTGCTTGTCCCGAGGCTTGCTTTAAACTGATTACTGAAATTCATTCTCCTACTGTCTAGGACCACAGAACAAGATGGTCTACCAACCTATCTATCTAAGAACCCCAGTTGCCTAAGTGTTAATTGCTAGAGTTCAAACAAAATGCACAGCCTTGCCTCTAACCCGAACTGTCCCTTTCCTCTCTGCACACACGTGCTCACAAGCAGATAGATGTGCATGTGTACACACAAAGGTCACTGAGGTTCTCTGAGCCTGGCACATGTGTGATAAACTCAGCAAAAACCCTCAATTATTTGTTGTTACTGAAAATCCCTACGTTTGGCTTTTTCTTTCACAATGTTTTGAACTGCCTGAGTGAGCCAAATTCTCTCTTTCAAGTTATCAGAACTCAGCAGGTTCAGTGAAATTGCTCCTAAATAGGATGCTGTCTGGTTGAGGGGACTCATGGAACTTTCCAGAAGTAAGAAGCAGGTAGGTCAGAGTATGTCAAAGGTGGAATGAAAATCCTTTGAAACGTGGACTGATGAAGTTAAAAATCAATGTGGTTTAGAGTCTGCTAATCATGCCCAGAGTTCCAGGGAGCTGAAAGAGGTGCACAGCTGAATCCTCAGAAAGATTTGTCTATATAAGCAAAGCGGTAGGGAGAGTTGAAGCAGATAGCTAGATATTCAACCATTCTGTGCTCCAACCTCCACGCCTGTTGTTGAGTGAAAGGCCGTGTGGGGGAAGAGACTAATTAATGAAATTGGCCATCTTGGCTAATCAGACCCGTTGGAAAATTGTTCTGTTAGCAACAGGCTAAATGTTGTTTCTAGGGGAAGTAAAAAAGGTCAATGATAGTGTTCATCTTGGGATAACTACAAAATTATTGTTAATGCCACCTCTGAGCTGCAGTTTTAACTGTAGAAGTCAGACAATCCCAAATTACTGTTCTCACACCAACTATAATTCAGCTGACTCCACAAGGCTTGTTGTAGACGAGGACCATACTTCTGTATTATCGTTGTTGGGAGAAGTGCAGTTCTTTTATTTATATCCAAGCAGTGGAGAGTTTTATTTCATAATCTTCTTTTGGAAATGTAGTCATTAGAGACTGACAAAAGTCCTTCTGATCCACTGAAAATACACATTTTGATGTATGGATAAACATTCATGTAGCTCAGAGCTTCACATTCATAAGGTCATTGTAGCCTCCAGGACAGTAAAATGTGAAAATCCACTATCTCCCTAAGGAATATTCAGAATTTGAGATTTTGAGCAATATAATCCCAGCAATCAGGCTACCAGGACAAAGAGGAGATGGTGTACTCCAAAATGGAAAATATACCCTCATTTAAATATTCATAAGACTTAATCTGTTATGTTGATGGTGGTTAATTTGTGATTTTAAATGTAAATGATCTAGAAACCTTGGTTTGCTTTCAAGCATTTTCTTGTCAGTAGGAAAGAAAACGCTTGGATGAAAAATAATGAGAAAAGTTGAGCACTCCCTTTCCCTGTCCCCTGTTCCATCAGGCCTTAGAAGATTAGGTAGAACACTCTTGTTTGAAATGGAAAATAAACCAGTCTCTCATATGATGGCAAAAGACTCAAGGAATCACCCACATGGTGACTAGAAATAGTGTGTCAGAGAGGAACAGAGCATGCGAAGGAAAGACATGGGCTTGCCCTCAAAGAAAATAAAACAATGAACAGAAACAGATTCCTCACTATGGCTTAATCTTATTAGACTCTTAGACTAATAAGTAACTTAAAATTTAATAAGAGTATAAACATATTTTTTAAATAGCATAAGGTGATAGAACAATAAGAATGAAATGCAAAGGGAAATTGAAGTCTAACAAATAAAAACCAAAAACAACATTAATACAGAAATGAAATATAAATTAGAAATGTTCATGTGTATGAGACCCTATTGAAAATCTGTTTACCAACAATAGAGAAAACTATTGATATAATCACAGTAAATACAGATGACAGACAAGGAAATTAAAGGCAGAGAGAGGGAGAGAAAATCTAAATGATATGAAAACATTCAAAATTATACAATATGAGGATAATAATTGGAGTCCCTGAGTAGAGAATCTAACAAATGGAACAAAAGATATTTTGAAAGATATAGTAATATAAGAAAATTTCCCATAAATGAAGAAAGGACCAAATCTATTCCAAGAAATATAACACAGAATGCTCAAAATGCAAACATAACTTAGTAAAGCCATTAAAATCCAAGGATAAAGAAATAATTCTTCAGGTGTCAAAATAGAAAAGTCAGTTTCCCACAAGGGAGAAACAAAATCAAGGTGGCTTAGATTTCTGCGTTGCCACATTCACTGCTATGCTGTCTGCACATGGTAAGAGAGAGAGACCCAGGGGTGTTATATCGAGCCAAGATGTTGTTAAAATATATAGATGACAGGGAGACATGTTTGAGACTGAAGAACTTAAGCAACTTTGAGACCTTTTTGAAGAACATACCTTGATAATGGGAGTCCAACCAGTTAAAAAAATCAAAATAACTCAGAAATGGAGAAGTCATGGTAAAACAACTGGTGAGAACCACTAGGTAGGTTTAAATGTAGAACTAATTCTCAATAGCTATGGGAATTAATGTTACAGTAAAAATAATAACTAAAAAATATGAAAAATGGGGACCAGAGATAGAAAGAAGTGGGGAAGTCCTTATGTTCTCATCTTTCCCAATAAGGAGTCAATCAGTATTGTCTAAAATTATATCATGTATTACTTTAAGGTATAAACACATAATTATTCCAATTTCTTAATATTTTATATTTTTTTACCTTAGAATCATCATTTAGGACATAATAATTATCACAGTGCAGAAACTTTTATTTGAAGCTTATCAATTCTTTCTTTCATTTTTAGTATTCAATTATAATTAAAATTTATACTTTTTATTTTAAAAAATGGCACCTAGGGTGTGGTCCCATTTTACCAAAGTCTCTCTGCATATAGATCTTAAATGGTGGCTGCCATGATGTTCATCTCACATTAATAATGATTATTTCTAGTTTGTGAGGCATTTTTTAAAAACTTTAATCTTTGTACCTTATGGCCCTAAAAAATTATTCTAAATCATTATGCTTTGTCTTATGAGAACAACTGCGTGAATTTTCCTAAAAACTAGAAAAACGTGCCAAAAATGACTGATTGTGTGATATGAATATTTGGAATTATTTTCTTCTTGGTATTCTTCTGTAACTTTTTAACTTTAAAAAAATTAAAGAATTAATTAGTTAAGCATGGGTAGAAGGTAAGGAGAAGAGAATATGGTACCACGTGTTTAAAGACATTCCCATCTGCTCAAGGCCTTTCTGGGGCGGGGTTGAGTCCAGGTAGCACTGAAATCTCCTTCAGAACAGTCTTAATGAACAGTGGTAGAAATCACTAGCTCTCAGTGAGCATATCTTTTTTTTTTTTCCTTCTTATTAAAATTTTGTATTTTTTAAATTTTTATTGGAGTATATTTGATTTACAATGTTGTGTTAGTTTCAGGTGTACAGCAAAGTGAATCAGTTATACTCATACGTATATCCTTGGTGAGCATATCTTTATGGGGATGGCTTAAGGGGCAATTTTCTTTCCACTAGAAGGTATGGAACAGATTGGGGCATGAAAGAGGACAGGAGAGACACCCTTTGGAAAACAATTGCACTTTGGGGCTCAAACTTTTTTTTAACAGCTTTGTTGAGATATAATTCACATATCATAACATTCACTCTTTTAAAGTATATAATTCAGAGATCTTTAGTATATTCACCAAGTTGTGAAACCATCACCACTGTCTAATTCCGGAACATTTTCATCACCCCCAAAAGAAGGTCCATACTCATTAGCAGTCACTGCCCATTCCTTCCTCCCACCAGCCCCTGGCAGTCACTAATCTACTTTCTGTCTCTGTAGATTGGCTTATTCTGGACAGTTCATGTAAACAGAATCATACAAATGTGGTCTTTTGTGACTGGCTCCATTCACTCAGCATGTTTTTAAAGTTCCCCATGTTGTAGCATGGATCAGCAATTCATTTCTTTTGAATGCAGAATAATATTCCATTGTCTGGATATACCACATTTTGTTTATCCATTCATCAGTTGATGGACATTCTGGTTCTTTCTACTTCCTGGCTATTATGAATAATGCTGCTATGAGCACTTATTTACACGTTTTTGTGTGGACATGCGTTTTCATTTTTCTTGGGTATATACCTAGAGATGGAACTGCTGGATCATGTGGCAATGCTCCATTTAGGAGCTCAAACAATTAAACTTTCTTGTTCCTTTTTGTTCCCAGGCAGAAATGGTGCATAGTGCTTTCCAGGCCCAGCGAGCTTTCCTTCTGATGGCCTCTCAGTACCAACAACCCCAAGAGGTAAGAGTGTATCCTGAGAGCCAGGGCTGCCTAGGGAATGGGCAGTGTAAGATAGAAAACAGGGAAGCAACAGAACCAGTTACTGTGAGAGACATCCCGAAAATGAGATGTATAGCACCGCAAGTTCTGTCCCTAATCCAGATCATAGTATGAAACATTTCTTCTGTCTTTATAATCTTATTATGGCCAGATTCATACTGCAACAATCAACATCACCAGTTTAAAAGGTCAATTTATTTATGTCATCTGTATCCTATTCTTTTTACTAGTCTCACAACCATTTTATAATCAAGGAAGTATTTGCTGCTAATTTTTAGTTCATACTTTGTGCTGCTTTGTTTTCAAAAACTGTTCACATCTATCCTCACCTGTAAATTCTATGTATGAATTTGATTAGTTCCTATTTAACAAATAGCATTGTTAGGCTCAGTGTGTAATGAATGAAATTATTCATTAAAAAGTAGATCTACTACCAGCATACCTTGTTAAATAAGAAAAAATAAGAATTGTTGTTTTGACTAAATATTCTGCATCTGAAGTTTGGTAACAGCCATATAAATATAAAAGATAATTGAAATATAACACAATAGTTTAAATTTAATAGCTCACTTTAAATTCTAAAACAAACACCTAAAGTTGAAAAAGTTGGACTGAGAATCCTAGGAAGCTAGGATTTGACTTTCAGAGGGTGAAGCTCGGCTTCATAAAGAACCAAAACCTGGGACCTTACCCTCCCTGGAGCAGTAGGTCCCAGGCCCTCCTGTGCAATGCAACCACCTGGAAAAATTTTTCTAAATACCAGTGCCTAGATCTCGCTCCAAGAAGTTCTGGTTTAATTGGTCTGAGGAGTGGTCTTGGCCTTAAGAGGTTTATGGATTCCACAGGTGATTCTAACGTGCAGCCAGGGACTTCCCTGGAGGTCCAATGGCTAAGACTCCACATTTCCATTGCAGGGGGCGTGGGTTCCGTCCCTGGTTAGGGAACTAAGATCCCACATGCCGTGCAGTGCAGCCAAAAAAACCAAAAACCAGATAACTTGCAGCTAGAGCTGCCAACCCCCACCCTGGATGGATGTATCCTGTCCCTCGTGGGAAATGAGGAGTTAGCACACAGTCCAGGCAGGCAGCTTTGCAGGGATGGAGATGTTCTGTGTTCCATCGGGGATGCAGTCTCCTCCTTGGCTTTCTCAATCCCTGACTTTTTTCTCTTTGCAAAAGAGAACAGTGAAACTAGGAAATCACAATGTGATACAGCCTTAGCCTACCTTTTCTGTGACTGAAGTGAGAGGAGAGGTGGCTTCATTACATCATTGAGTCTCAGATGGAGGAAAGAACCATTACTTTCCTGGCCGGTGCTCCACTCAATCCCTTTTCTAAGCGCAGAACAAGAGGCCTCTCCATTGGCTGTGCACATAAAAGTCACTCATTAAATATTGGATGATAAAGTGAGTGAGTGAACAAGTGAATGAATATACTGGGATGGTGGCATCCCCAAATAAGCCATAGTCAGGGATAATGTGTGACTTGGCATGTGGCTATGCAGATTCTTGGGTGTAATATCTGGAGTTGCCCCTTCTTACTCTACTGCATTCTTGATGAAAGGGAGAGGAATGGATGTTTCAGGGGACTCATATCCAGGAAAGGCATTCGTTGGAGATGTTCCCTATAGCACTTACCACAGTACTCCAAGAATAATAAGCCCCAGAAGATCAGTAGGCAAAATAGAAGGTAATTTTTTGATGCCCACCTCCCTTTCTGTGCCCTCCCTCTTAACCCAGAGCACTGTCCTAGTTGCTTCCACTCAATAGAAAAGCAGTCCACCAGGCCTAGACATTCCCAGTGTGCATTCTAGAAGATACATCATAAAGATTATCATAAAACAGGTTGTATCTTCTCATAGGAACAATGTTATAATTGTCCGTGCCTTCCTCTCTTCTTTCAGGAGAATACTAACTGCTGTAATTTTAACTCTCATTGATATATGATAGTGGTCCCCAAACTTTAGCGTGTATGAGAATCGCCTGCAGGGTTGTTAAGACACAGATTGCTGGGCCCCACTTGCAGAGTCTCTGATTCAGTAGGTCCTGGTTGAAGCCCAAGAATCTACGTTTCTGAAAAGTTCCTGTGTGATGGTGATGCTGCTAGGCCAGGGACTACACCCTAAGAGCCTGTGGTGTGTGGATGGCTCTCAAAGTTACGCCTCTAGCCGCCTCTAGATGACTACTTCTCAAACTCTGATCTTCATCTGAATCACCTGGAGATCTTGCTAAAGTGCAGCGTCTGGGTCAGTACATCTAGGATGGGGCCCAAGAGTCTACAGTTTTAACAAGCTCTGGGTGATGCTAATGCTACTGGTCTGTTGCTACATTTTGAGCAGCGAGACAGGCGTCCCCACTTGAAATCCCCACCAGCACAAAATCCCTTCATAGTCAGATAGCAAACTCATGTTCTTTTCTCCTAGCATGTCTGTATCAAAGCAGGCTGTGTTACGCTACGTTAACAAACATTTCCAAAATTTTAGTGACTTATAAGAGCAGAGGTTTATCTCTTGCTCACCCTACATTCCTATGTATGTATGAACGTAAGGTGACTTACTTTCTAGAGGATGTTATTAAACAATTACTCATACAATTATTAGAGTTATAATAGGGCTCTGAGAGAACATGGTAAAAAATGAATCTTTAAAAGGAATATCAGGCATTGGGAAGGGAAGATATTTTAGGGTAAGAGAACTTCCCAAGGGGTACCTCGCATCATGCTAATGAAGGTGACCACTTATGCTGTGGAAGCATAAGGCAAGGCCAAACCAACATTAGTCACCTGTGGTCTGAGGGTTGTGTGTGTTAGATGCCCAGACTGGGGCTGAGCACCTGGCCAGCTGGAAGCTAGCAACCTCCTAGAACATCTTTGAATCCACAGTGATGCAAGCATGCAATTAATCAGTCAACAAATATTTATCAAGTGCTTATTATGGGCCAGGCCCCCTAGGAGATGGGGCAGGGCTTGGGAAAACACATAGAGAGTATTAGATGGGAAGAGACCTTAGAAGGCATCTCTTGCAGCAATCTCCATTTAAAGATGAATCAGAAGAGGTTCAGAGAGAGGGTAACTGGTTTGCTCACTAGTCCCAAAGCTGGTGAATTGCCCCCCAGAACTCTCAGCCAGCATGCTTCACCACTACACAGCTGTCTCCAGCGCTCTTCCCTGTTGCTTTAAGCCAGAGTGTCAGCCTTCAAAGAGATTAAGTTTTGTAGAGGGTCACCATCAAAATGTAAAAGTATTTTATATTTACCAATTATAAGCAAACAGCCAATCAAGCAAGGTAAACCATTAGTACTACCAAAATTCGGGGAAGTAGGCATCTTGCAGACAAGGGTGATCAGGAAAGGCATCATGGAGGAGATAAAATGACAGTCCAAGAGCAGTAATGCAAGTGCTTCTGATGTAATTACACTAATATTAATAAAGTGGTGAATTTACTTAGCACAAACGCAAAAAAATACTTTCCTGGATTAAATATGTTTGGGAAAATCCCATACTCTGTTCACTGAAGAAGCATGTAAAATATTATTATTTAAACTTACATTTTCCCAGACTTATTTGGCCATGGAGGCTTTTTGTAGAGGGACATCTGTTCATGTCCTGTGGAAGGCTGGTGTACATTTCTTTTAAGTTGTTCTAAATGCTTGATGGTCATTGCTTTTGGTAGATTCTAACTATTAGCAGGGATTCTAAGACCAACTCCAAGAGTCCCACGGCCTAACGTACATACATGCCCAGTATAATCCTCTCCCCTTGAGTGTAGGAATGAGCTGTGAATTTATGGGATATCGATCCTTTGATTAGGTTTATGATCAGGGTGATGGGATAGTCACTCCAGTGATTATGTAATGTCACAGAAGACTGTCATTGTGGCTGTAGAGAGATTCTCCTGCTGGCCTTGAACACATGAGCTACCACATTGTAAGAGGGCAGCCTCTAGAAGCTGAGAGGGACCCTCTGCTGACAGCCAGCAGTAAAACAGAGACTTCAGTCCCACAAGTGTAAGAAATCAAATTCTGCCAATGACTGTGTGCACTTTGAAGGGGACCCAAAGCTCCAGATAGAAATGTAGCCTTGCTGACACCTTGATTTCAGCCCTGTGAGACCCTGAGCAGAGAATATAGCTTCATGCCCAGAAGCTGTGAGATGGTAAATGTATATTGTTTTAAGCCACTAAGCTTGTGGTAATTCATTATGCACAAATAGAAAACTCATCCAGATTGCCTTGATTCCCTCCTCCTTGCCAGACTCTAAAACAGTTAATTGGTTTTTAAAATAAGGCCGTGAGCCACAGATCAACATGTGAAGCCACCCTACCGTTTGCTTCTTCTTCCCTGTCCCCCACCCCCATTCCTCCACCTTCACTCCTCCATTTATCCTGGAAGAAGATAAGAGATTTGCCTACAGCCCTGGTTGACAATGATGACAATCCAATTTCAAATTTCCTTTCTCATTTTGGACTAAGAAACACGTTTCTTATATTCTCTATTATGAAGAGTTTCAAATTTTTCAACCTTGACCTGTAGGAAAAAAATGTATTTTATTTCATCACCCAGTTTCTCAAAACAACAGTTATCCTTATCATGTACAGTTCATTATGATATATTTCATCTAGTCCATTCTATTGCTCTGTTCTTTTCTTCTTTTTTTAAAGACAGTTCATGACCCACTGAATTGATTTCATGATGTACTAATGGGTCATCACATCTTGCACTTTGAAAGCACCCCTCTCATATCACAGACATATTACAACGCTCATGATATAAATCAACTTATAAAACATGTGCAGAACATGCTTTTCTTCTCTCCCCTTGTTGTAATTTATAAAAATGATCTTTGGGCAAAAGATTGTTCTAGTCCTTACAGTATCTTTGTTAAGAATTTTAGTGACAATTTAAAAATCCTATTTGTGTGCAGAATTTTTCAAGGGACCCGGGCACACTCAACTCTTCATTTACT